CAGGCCCTCCCCCATGTGGCCAGGCTGAGAGAGCTCTCTTTGTGAAATGGGCTCCCAAAGTCCACTTGTACACCAGGGCTAAATACTGATCTACTATCCAAGGCCCCATAGATTGCTGAGGCCTCCTCACTGACATCCACGTTCAGGGTGTCTAGATCAGTCCCATGCTGGTCTCTCAGTCACCAGTGTGGGATCTATGAGTTCTCCCTTGTTCATTCAGGTCAGCTTCCTCTGTGGGTTTCACCAGCTAGGTCTTGACTCATTTGCTCATCACTCCTCCCTCTCTGCAACTGGGTTTCAGGAGTTCAGCTCAGTGTTTAGCTGTGGGTGTCTGTCTCTGCTTCCATCAGCCACTGGATGAAGGCTCTAGGATGGCAAATAAAGTAGTCATCAATCTCATTGTCGGGGGGAGGGCATTTAAGGTAGCCTCTCCACTATTGCTTAGATTGTCAGTTGATATCATCCTTGTAGATCTCTGAAAATCTCCCTAGTGCCAGATCTCTTCTCAAACCTATAGAGGCTCCCTCTATTATGGTACCTCTCATCCTGTTCATCTCTATTCATCCCCTGACTCAACCTTCCTGCTACCCCATGTCCTCCTCTCCTCTCCTCCCCTTCTCTTTCTCCCAGCTTCCTTTCCCCTCCCCTCCCCCTCCCCTCCCCCATGTTCCCAATCCCCTCAGGAGATCCTGTCCCATTCCCCTTATCTGGGGTACCATGGATATCTCTCTTAGGGTCCTCCCTGTTTCTCAGACTCTTTGGCAGTGGGATTGTAGTCTGGCAATCCCTTGCTCCATGTCTAAAATCCATATATGAGTGAGTACATACCATGTTTGTCTTTTTGTGACTGGGTTACCTCACTCAGGATGGTTTCTTCTAGTGCCATCCATTTGCCTGCAAATTTCAAGATATCATTGTTTTTTTCTGTTGAGTAGTACTCCGTTGTGTAAATGTACCCCTTTTTTCTCTATCCACTCTTCAGTTGAGGGCCATCTAGGTTGCTTCCAGATTCTGGCTATTACAAATAATGCTGCAAAGAACATAACTGAACAGATGTCCTTGTTGTATGAATGTGCATCTTTTGGGTATATCCTAAGAGTGGAATTGCTAGATCTTGTGGTAGACTGATTTCCTAAGTGTATTTCTAACTGATCTAATCCATATTCCTCATATAATAATAGCACTGATTTATCTCAGTGGTGTTGAGTGCTGAGAGACTCCTGTTAAGCCTTTACTTGGTTCTTAGTAAACATTAAGTTACTTTGGAACGATGGCTGGGACCTTCTGTAGCAGTCTCTGTCTTTTGTGTAACGGTAGCATGTCCTTTAGAGAGACATTAAACTGAACACTTCCTATTAACTAAACATGACACAGGGAGGAGACAACTCTGTTCAAGTGCAACATTACATCCTGATGTCAGTGGTTCTGTGTTTTACACGCTCCCCCGGCCCCCCTGCGCCAGTCAGCATGCATCTTGTGTCTGGAAGGGCTATTGGGTCACAGAACTGGGTGAGTAGAGAGTAGTACTAACATTGAACTTTCTAGTTGCATTGGGCATGATGTCCCTGCTCACACACTATCAGGTGCTAATTTAGCTAGCATCAACTTTTATTATCTCACAGTGCACGAAATTAAGAGGATACTGGAAACATTTGTCATATAGAAAGAAAAAAAGTGAGAAAAATCCAGAACTTTTTCATAAACGTACTTTTCTATTCCCCATCTTAGCTGATACCCTGCACAGAAATTGATTGTAAGTTTTGGTTAAAGTGAGAGAACGCTGCATACCGTGCTTTAAGGCTGGAGAGCAGGAAGGAAAGTGCTGGGTGGCTGTTTCTAAAGAGCAGATCTGTGAGTTAATGGGATTCACCCAAACAAGTGCTAAAGGTCCCTGCTTGAAATGAGAAGCCCTGAGCTTTGTATTCTTAAGGTCTTATGGCTTAGTGAAAGGTCGAAATTTCTTATAATTAAACCGGGGTTAAGTGAATAGTAAGATGGGAGCTGAAAGACACAAAAGACATCAGAAATTGAGATAAATCTGGTGGCAGAGGGCTTGCCAACCATTGTGAAAATCCTGGGTGCTATTCCTCGAAGCTCAGGGGGAGGGGTGGGGGAGATAAATTTACCGGGTGAAAATTGGGTGATTAAGATGTTTAGGACCTGATGAGGAGGCTCAAAGCTTATCACCAAGCCTGACAGCCTGAGTTCAAACTCTAGGATCACATGGTGGAAGGATAGAAGCAACTCTAAGCTGTCCTCTGAGCTCTCTAGCTCTCTCTCTCTCCCTCCCTCCCTCCCTCCCTCCCTCCCTCTCTCTCTCTCTCTCTCTCTCTCTCTCTCTCTCTCTCTCTCTCTCTCTCTCTCTCCCTCTCTCCCTCTCTCTCTCTCTCTCTCTCTCTCTCTCTCTCTGTGTATACACATATGTACAGAGAGAGCATGCACACACACATATATAAATGTAATTAAAAGTAAAAACAACTAAAAATATAGCTAGGATTCATACTCTATGTATAGTAAAATGTTGTGCTTGAAGCTCTCTTCTTAATCTGCTCACAACAGGAAATGCTAGACAGCAGCCAGGCCTGTCTGGCTTTAGAACACAAGGTCAGACTAGGGTGGGCTTTTATTGAATCACAACATTGTGCTGCCAGCCTCCTTGCTTCCAAGTTATCACAGCCTCACTGTCACATACAATTAATTTGCCTTCAAGGTGACAATGGCTCGTATGGCCACACTGAACAAAGCAGACTTGGACAGTCCATGTTTCACCAAGTGCCTTTTAGGTGGTCAGTCTCATAAAGGCGAGAGTGACAAGGCATAGTCATGTCACAATTCACAGATGGACTTTGACTAGCTGGTCTCTGACAGTGACACCACCTGATGAGCCAGGACAATGCCTAATGAAGTTTACTCCTGCAACCTTCAACTGAGTAGAACATACCCAGATAAGCGGGGAACATTCTTAACCTGCTTCCCTCAGCACCTGCAAGGCAGTCACTGTAAGATTAGAAAAGGTAATTACATCTGATAGAGTGATTGACAACACATTGTTTAAAGAGCGGGCTTAATCTGCCCTATTGTGAGAAGGTTAATGGAAGCCCAGGCCACTGGTCTCTCACCTCCAGCAGAATGAAATCTGTTTGTATCAGAATGTTTAGAGAGCAGCTGACAGTCCACTTCCCAGCACTGTGATGTCAGCCACCCTTCTCTGCCCCTCCCTCCCCAGCAGATGCTCTGCTCGGCATTGACTTCACTTACTAAAATTTGTATTCACTCACGAGCTTTAAAGACCCTAAAGAGACAGGACCCTTTACTGTTTGTTCCCGGAATCTAGCACAGATTCTGCCTCAAGGCTCACTTCCCGCTTTTTGCTGACTTGACTCAAGTTCAGAGAAACTCTTGGTATGACAAGGGAATCTATGAGGTCTCACGGTGGGTTGATCATTGATTAAAAACCCAAAAGGTTGGAGGAAGACAGGGAGTTAACATGGGAGAAACGGTCTAGAGTGGGAAGATATGACTGACTCAGACAGATGTGATCACCTGGTCCACACTCTACTCCACAGCTTTGCTGAGGTCACAGGGAAGGATCATGACTCCTTATTTCTCTACTGTGTCATGAGGAAAGTTCCAAGTGACAGTTAGTCAGAAATAGTGTGACACTACAATAAATCAAGAGGCTTGTGTAGATTAAGATTTGGGTCCTAAGAACTTTTAAAAATGAACAACAAACATATAAAAATAAGACCAACTTGTGGGGAGCGGTGGTGCACTTCTGTAGTCTCAGCTACTCGGGAGGCTGAGACAGGAGGACTGCTTGAGTTCAGGCGTTCTGGGCTGTAGTGTGCTATGCCGATCGGGTGTCCGTACTAAATTCGGCATCAATATGGTGACCTCCCAGGAGAGGGGGACCTCCAGGTTGTCTAAGGAGGGGTGAACCAGTCCAGGTCGGAGATGGAGCAGGTCGGAAAAAAAAAAAAAAGACCAACTTGTGCTGTTAAATTCTTAATACATTTTAGAAAAGGCTGCAGTCTTGTTATGCAAAATTAGGTTCTGATAGAAAAATGCTCATCATGTCTTTTCCCCCAGCAACTTCTCTGCTTTCCTTAGCTTATGTCCAACTTTTACCTCAGAGCTTGCACTTCCTGGGTCTTGTGCTGAGCCTAAGCTCCTAGTCACAAAGACACTGGGGAGAGCCTGGCAAGGGAAGACACACACAGAATGCAAGTCTGTGGAGCAGTGAAGGAGGCAAGTGTGCAGAGCCAGGCATGAAGACATGTACTGTCACAGCAGGTCCCAAAAGGCCTGTGGCATGTGTGCAAGCCAGCCATCTTTCCATACTGCCTAGCAACACAGATGGCTTTCTTTTATAAAGTGCTTTTACCTATAGCAGTCTCTTTGTTTCTCAACAAATCCCAATAAGAAACGGTGGGCAGTTATTGCCTGTGCTTTTACAGATGGAGGAAGAGATGCATAGGACAGTTAAACAAGAAGTCAATGGGTAGCTGGGGAAATTGGGTGCCAAGCAATTTCCTGCTTTTCAATGGACTAACTTAAGGGACTCAAAGCATCTGTCCACACTCAGTACTTCTGGAAGGCAGGCGTTCTCACTGTGGGACATTAGGAGAGTAATCTACATCAAGATCTTTCAACCCAGAGAGGCAGGAAAGGTAAAAAACACAGAGCTTTCAGTAGCCACGAGAAACATCTCCTTCTCTTTTGAACCTTGAGCAACAGGGATTGCTCAAGCACTTGGTACAAACTATGTGTAATCACCTGTTTCAGCTAGGAAGGGCCACATCATGGGGAGCAGATGACTTCCAGGTGACTCTATGATATCCAGTGCCTCCTTAATAACTCTTTACAGTAAGCCTCTTACCATTCTTCTACAGACAGAACAAGTCCAAAGATGTGACAATCTAGAAATCAAGAAGAACAGTTGTAGCCACATGCTTACAGGTTTTGCTGTTTTAGGTCAGGAATTTAAAATCCATTCAGTGGTCCTTGATGAGAAGGACATATAGTAAAAACTGGAACGATACAAAGATTAACATGTCATCTTCTCAAGGATGGCATGCAAAGTCATGAGGCATTAAAAAAAATCCACGCAGAAATTACGGTCCATTCCAGGTTTAGCTAAGCAAAACCATCCTCTTAGAAGTAATTGAAAATGGCACTAAAGTTCCTTTTAAAATGGAGGTTTCAAATAATCACAGATTTGTACAAAACCCTCTGAGCGTCTTCCGTCCGTGGTATGTCCTGGTAGCTCCAGCCGTGGCTTTGCAGGAAGGCAGTGTGCGTCCCAGCAGGCAGCTCTACAATCTGCTTTTTCCATGCCCTCTTTCTGTAAATAGGTGCAATAGTCTTTCTATTTTATCAAAATCAGAGTAGGCTCAGGGATTTCAATGTCCCCAAACCTGGTCAAGGTATCTGTGATGTGCGGTGGCAGACCAGACACGGTGTGTGCAGAGCAATCCACAGGACGATGGCTGAACTCTGAAGGGAGACACCTGGAGCCCAGGCATGGTGTGTGTGCAGAGCGATCCACAGGACGATGGCTGAACTCTGAAGGCTGAAAACAAGGGAGAGAGACCTGGAACTCTCACTTGCATCTGCCACAATGGGACATTGTTAGGCCTGGGCTCCATCAAACAATGGCCTCGATAGGACATAATACCCACTGAGACGTATAGCTTAGCACCCTGACTCTCCAGGCAGCCCAGCTGCCTCTCCGCTTGTTCAGGCATGCATGCGTGTGGATGTGTTTGATTACTGGACCCGCTTGACATCCCCCATGGCTTCACATCTTCTTTGCTCTTCTGGTGATTGTAGGAGGCTCTGATTGATGAAGCTCTGTGTTTGTGAGCACAGTCTTGGTCTTTTTTACATTCCCTCTTTGTAGGTCACAGTGTTTAAAATGAAGAATACCTCCCATGCCTCCACCTACACAAGTGAGCACAGACTGTTGTTACTAAGCAACAGATTCATCATCTAAAGCTTAAGTGGTTTGGCCACTTAAATCACAGCAAAGCTTCCTCTGGCTGTGTTAAAATGAGGGGTACATTGTGACCTCAAGGCAGGTCAGCTGCTATAAGCTTTCTCCCCAGTTTCTCCAAGCTTACAATGAGACTCCACTTAACTGTATTAGTTGAAGAGTCTTATTTTTCTTATATCCTAGGGGAGCTGTACTCATCTCACTGGAGCCTTCTGCAAACAAATTTATCTACTAGAGAGAAAAGGCTTATTAAAAGGCCTATAGTATAGCCTGAATACAGTATTAATATTGTTTGATAAATTTTTACAAGATCATGTATTCTGCGGTTATTTTCTAGGGTGATATGCAAACTATACTGGCAAATAAGTAATGTAAAATAAGTATAGTATATATATTTACTCTTTACAGGAACAGTGAGAATACATGTGTACATGTAGATAATGGCCACAAATTGTAACTAAAATCAGCCTCATATTTAATAATAATAATGAGATTAAAATCTGTTTAAAATCTTTGTTTTCCTAAGAGTTTGCATGGAATGACAACTATATTTTATGACTTTGGATTATAGCTGGTTGAGTGCTTTTTGCCTCACTGTTGCAAACCATATTGTTTATGGCATAGTCTTTTTTTTTGGCATAGTCTTAATGATGATCAAACTGTGAGTCACACCTGGGCCTTCAGGCCACCCAGGATCCCTGGAATACACAGTGAGGTCCCTAAGTATAGGATCACCTTTTCTTCTTCCTGTAAAATTAGAAGGAGTGAGGAGAAAACAGAAGTCAGTCTATTCCTGCAAATGCATTCCATGAATGTCTCTAACTGCCCAAATATTGGATGTTCATCATTTACAGAAGGGCTGATTAGGCTTTAAGTGCTAATTGAAATGATCATGTCACTAAGTAGACTTTGCTCAGCTATGGGCTCTAAAGACTAATTCATCCTGTTACAGCAACTGTTGGGCCTAAAATGTGCTTAGTAGGAGCTTCTGTGTCAGAAAGAGTCACCGTCAATGGTGCAGGTGAGGGCACAGAAACCAGGGTAGCAGTCAGGGTTATATATATGTATGCTTCACTCAATTGTCACCATTTAGCTATCTCCAAATTATGGTGAAAGAGGCACAGAGAAGTCAAGTTTATGCTCTGCTTGCCAGCTTGTAAACAACAGAGCCAAGATGAAAATCTCTCTTCCAGAATATTGTAGGTGCTGAAAAGTATTTGCAAAATACATTTTACATATTTTTGGCTCCTATGCAAATCAGATAGGTGAAATTAAGAATCATAAAATATATTTTATGTAAAAGAAATTAAAGACTTGTTTAGTTTCTTTAGCTCTTACTATGTAAAAGAGCATTCTCCAGGGAATATCTAAGTTCTGGAGTTAAACTGAGTTAAGCTCACCTCTCTCTGTTCCCCTGGGGAATTCCTAAAACCCAAGGCTACCCTGCCTTTCTCTTCTGTTAAGAATGGATTTAAAAAATATTTTATTTATTATTATGCCTACAGTGTTATGCCTGCATGCCAGTCAGAAGAGGGCACCAGGTATCATTATAGATGGTTATAAGACACTATGTGGTTGCTGGGAATTGAACTCAGGACTTCCAGAAGAGCAGTCAGTGCTCTTAACCTCTGAGCCATCTCTCCAGTCCAAGAATGGATTTTTACATTTCTTTCTGTTTATACAAAACCTTAAGAACTTGGGGCTGAAGTGGGCAGAGTGCTTGTCCATTGTCCATTGTCGAGGGAAGCCAAAGCCAAGGCAGGAACTCAAGGCAGGAACATGGAGACAAGAACTGTAGCAGCAGCCACGGTGGAGTGGTGCTCACAGGTTTGCGCCATTGGGCTGGTTCAGAAACCTTCCTTGTGTAACCCAGGACCATCTGCCCAGGTATGGTTTCTCCCATGGTGGGCAGGGCCATTCCATGTCAATCTGTCAATCATCAATCAACAAAATGCCCCACAGACATGCCCACAGGCCAATCTGACCAAGGCAATTCTTCAGTGGTGGCGGCACCTTCCCACATGTGTCAAGTTGACACAACTAACTAGGACCAAGGCTCAAATCTTACATTTTCTGTTGTTATTTTTAGGTTTTCTGGACAGGGTTTCTTTGTGTAATTCTGGCTGTCCTGAGTGCTGGGATTAAAGTCCTACTTCACCACCACCCAGCCAGGGCCAGAGAGTAGCTTTTCTAGCAGGCCTTTAATGAATAAATGAGGGAAGGGACAGCTTTGGTTTGGATATAGGACAGAACGAGAGGATGGTAGTGACAGCAGGCATTAGCACCTGAACCTTCAGTGCCTTCCTGAGGAGCCTGGCAGATGCAGGAGCAGCTTGGGCCTCCCCTCCTGTGAGATGCAGAGGAGACAGTGCTCCCTCCTGCCTTATGGGATGGAGCAGAAAGTGAACAGAGCCATCCAGGACACGTCACAATGTTGCCTCCAGGTTCACACTGTTCTCAATGTTTGGTTCTTTCTGAACTATCACCTGGGTTTGTTTGTATGTGCAGTACCAGGCCTTGAAAGAGTAATATGCTTATCTACATCTCCAACCTCAGATAACCTAGGTAAAAGGAAACCAATTGGTTATCCAATGCCAAATAGTCCGCCCTGAAAATATATACATGTAAGTAACATTACACAGGCAGGTTGTATATTATATTTATGAATATATGTGTACATACATATACGAATGTAACAATTAGAGAAGCAGTCATGAATATGTAAGAGAGTAAGGGTTGTATGGAAGGGGAACCAATATAACTATAGTATGATCTCAAAAATAAAAATAATTAATAAAAAATGAAAAAAGGGGCTGGAGAGATGGCTCAGAGGATAAAAGCCCTGACTGATCTTCCAGAGGTCCTGAGTTCAGTTCCCAGAAACCATATGGTGACTCAAAGTCACCTATAATAAGATCTGGTGCCCTTTCTGGCATGAAAATGTATATGCAGGTAGAACACTGTATACATGAGAAATAATAAAAAGTGGTAGCTTTTTGTTTCTTCCAAAGGCAACACCACTGCAGTGCCTGTATTGTTGTCACTCTGGAGCTGCGCTACAGTATAGCAATGCACACCAACTGGGCCAATAGATCCGCTTTTTAAGTTTTCCTCTTTTTATTCCCCTTGTAAAAGCTGGAGAAAGGAGCCAGCTAAGTTCAAGGCTGTTTAGATTGTATCATTTTCTGGAAAGCATCTTTATTGTTTGGGGTAAGAAGTTGAAGGTTTATTTTTATGTGGCTCTGTTTTTAGCTGCAGACTAGTGCTATGGCTTGTGGTGGAAGCCCCTTTGTGTGACACATCCCCTGCTTCATTTGTCCCTGGAGCATAGCATGTGCCAAATCATCACTTGTCCCAGGCTTGTTGGCTTTCCAGAGAGAGGAAACATCTTGATAACTGGCTGAGATGCTGTGTGTCAGAGAGAGAGTGCTGCGGCCGCCCAGCACCTTACCAGGGCATCCTCAGGGGTAAGGGTCTTCCAGCTTGCCTGGCCAGGGTTGTTGTTCATTACAACTTATTACACCACTGTGCCATTGCGCTGCCATTTTTTGCTCCGACACTTACGCAGTGGTATTTGCTAACGACGTCAATTCTTTTCCTGTCTGACCTCGAAGATTACAGTGACTCAATGTTGGCTAGTCAACCTTAAAGATTAAATCGAGGACATTGGCTTAATGATTTTAGCAGTGAGCGTAAAGGATTTTCCAAGTATGAGAATCAAGATATGAAAAAAATTGAGAATTTAGTTTAATCTTAAAGAGAAAGCAGAGAAGCTGAAATCAATCCTTGGGATTGTATTTTCCTTCCTTCTTTTTGACAAAGCCTTGTTATGTAATTCTTGCTAGCTTTGAGCTATGTAAACCAGATTGACATTGAGCTTGTGGCGATTCTCTTGTTCTGCCTCAAGAGTGCTGAGATTATAAGTATATGCCAACAAGCCCAGTTTGAAGATTCTATTTCTTAAAAGAGAATAAATTTGGGTGAGGAAAAAATGGCTCAGGAGTTAAGAGCACTGGCTGCTCTTCCAGGGTTCCTGGATTCAATTCCCAGCATCCACATGGCAGCTCACAACTTTCTATAACTCCAGTTCCAGGGGATTCGGCACCCTC